GTTGTAGTTGTAATAGTAGTAGTAGTAGTAGTAGTAGTAGTAGTAGCAGTGGCAGTAGTAGCAGTAGCACTAGTAGTAGCAGTACTCGTACGTGTACTAGTAGAAGTACTAGTACGAGTACTAATACTCGTAGCGGTAGTGGTAGTGGTAGTGGTGGTGGTGGTGCTGGTGGTGGTGGTGGTGGTAGTACTGGTAGTCGTCGTCGTCGTATTCGTGTTTGTAGCTGTAGCGCTAGTAGTATTAGACCGGTAGTCGTTTATTGGCACAAGTACTCGTCCAAAGAAGGAATAGGCTCTGACCTTTTGGGATCACTGCTGTACAACGAACCTATCTCGTTCTCTTTCTTGTTTGAAACGTCGTGCTGATCTGACACTCTGACCCAATTTTGGTCATGCTGCGCTTGATCTTCTAGCCAGCCGGCATAACATAGCACAGCATGAGTACATACATGCATACATGCTTGGAGACATACGTATATATGTAATGTACGTACATACACATATACATGCATGCATGCGTACATTAACATATATACATACATTCATGCAAACATGCATATTTACATACATGCAAACGTACATGTCTGTGTGCATGCACACAGGGACAGGCAGACGGATGAACGCACGGACACATTAACGGTATCTAAGCATGCATGTACACATGTATGTACAACATCAGGCACGTGTATATATACATATACAAAAACATATTTGCACACATACATATATACATACATACATGCATGCATACATACATACATACATACATACATGCATGGTAGTATGTCTGTCCGCCTGCCTGCCTGCCTGACTGCTCTCTGTCTGCCTGTCTGTAGGTAGGGAGGTAGGTAGGTATACAGATAGGTATACATGTGCGTGTGTATGTGTACATGTCAGTCTGTCTGTCTGCATGTGCTTATATACTTTTGTACTTGAGTGCTTCTGTACGCATGTATTCATGTAGTTACGTTTTCATGTAGTCATGTACCTGAGACCTTGTGTACTTGTGTACCTATATCTACACAGATACGGAAAACTGAAGCACATGACGCCCTAGAGCCCAAAACCTTCGCCGACTTCCTAATCCTAAATCCTAAGCCCGAAGCCCCAAGCGCTAAATCGCATCACTCGACCCACAGGCGATGAGCAAGGTCCTGATCTTCGTGAATGCCCATGGCGCTTCTTCGACGCACGCCGTAAGGGTTTTCTAGGGTACCATACGGCTTCCAGAAATGTTCGAGCAGGGTTCTATAGGGCGTCGGATTAGCGTTGGGGTTAGGGTTCGGGTTTCAATTTGGAGGCTGTGGTTAGGGCTTCGGGTTTCGGATTGGGGGTTTTAAGGGTTTAAGCATTCTATACATGAAAAAAGGGAATCTGTGGTGCTTTCTCGCTTTGTGAGATGATGACGGACAAGAAGGTGCCTGTTGAGACCGCGGGCGAAGCTGCCCTGAACCCTAAACCACAACCCCAATTGTCTAAGCGAGGATCCGGCTGGCAACGTCAAGCGCCTGGTGGATGTGGCTTGTCTCCAGGATGAGTTGCATGCAGTCTTGCAGTCGAAGCCCCGAGTGAGCCTGAGATACAACGGTACGATGCTGTGATATGCTATACTATACTACGCTATACTCTACTGTAATAGTCTAATCTATGCTATGCCATGCTATACTATGCTCTGCAATGCTATACGCGACGATGCTAGACTGTTCTATGCCATGCCAGACATGTTATACTATGCTATGCTGTGCCAGACTATGCTACACTATGTTATACCATGCTATACTCCACTATGCTATACTATGCTAGGCTATGCCATGCATGCTATATTATGCTATGCTGTGCTCGACTCTGCTATACTGTGTTATACTATGGTATACCGTGCTATACTGTGCGATACTAGGTTATACTATGCTATATTATGCTATGCCCTGCTTTACCATGCTGTATTATGCTATAGTCAAACATGCGTGTGAGCTACTGCACTAAACCAAACTGTACTACACGATACTACATTGTACTATACTCAGCTATACCATACCATACCATACCATACCATACTATACTATGCTATATTATACTTCGCTATATTACACAACACTGATCCATGCTGTACTAAACTCTACTGTATTTTACTGAGCCACAGCTGCACTATGCTGCATGCAACGTAGACAATACACCTAAACCCTAAACCTTAAACCTGAAACCCCAAACCCCAAACCCTAAACCCTACACCCTAAAACCCTAAACCCTAAACCCTAAACCCAGGTGATCAACGCCGCCGGCATCCTCGAAGAAGGGGAGGTCCTGGGCTTCGTTCGCGTCTCGGCACGAGGGTTCCTTTACGGATTCCTGTCAGCGTTCCTTCAGGGTTTAGGGTTTAGGGTTTCTGGGGTTCAGGGTTTTAGGGTTTAGGGTTTAGGGTTTAGGGTTTAGGGTTTAGGGGTTGAGGGTGTTCTACAGGGACATGGCTTAAAGGTGTCCGCAGCTGGAGGGGGTCTACCTCAAAAGCCCGGAGCCAAGTGGAAATACCCTCCTCGACCCTGGCGGACACATGGTGAAGACCGTGAGTCATGAAGCTCAACCTGACCGCTCCAGCTTTAGACTGCAACCCTTCTTGATCGGGAACTTCACAGCCGCTAGCACTGACTTTAGTGGGTGGGTTTTGGTGAACCCTTACAGCCTAATCCCTAAGCCCAAAGCCCTGAGCCGTGCTGGTCGTTTCATCTTAGGAGAGGATGATGGAAGGCGATGGGAATCTAGCTCCGACACCGCTTTTCGAAACTTCAAGGACCTACCTATCTCTGCAGTAAAGGCAGTAAAGATTTTGGGGTTCAGGGCTGAGGGGTGGAGCATAGGACAAGGAAGTGCTTGGGGGTGTTACGGATTTGAGCTACAATTCCCGCTAAGGTTGTTGGTGTTGATGGTGGTGCCAGGTATCAGCATCAGGAACCACGTCGGAATCATGATTGAAAGCATCGGCCTATCCAAAACCGCCGCCTCACGACTGGTGCCTGAACCCCCAGACCATACCATACCATACCAACCATACCATACCATACGATACCATACGATACGATAGTCCGATAGACTACATACTACACACTGCACTAGCTTACACTATGCTACACTAAACTACACTATGCTACACTACACTACACTACACTACGCTACGCTACGCTACACTACACTACTCCACACTACACTCCACCGCTCCACTACTACACTGCACTACACCACGCCACACCACTCTACACTATTCTATACTGTTGCATACTATGGCTAGTGGCAGCATGCAGGGGTTCACTCCGCCCATTCATCTGTTCTTGACCCTCAGCAGTGATTCCTAAATCATCGCCCATGATGAGCATGTATGATTTTCTTTCTCCTTTTGTAGGGAACCTGCTTTGTCAGTGTGAGCAGTCTGGTTCAGCAGGACTCAAGCTGCCCTCGGCCGCGCCCCTCGCTTGGCAGGAGCAAAGCTTGCGGTTCGAATGTCGGGATGTTGGGAAACTGACCTCCCTGCAGCCACGCAGAAGCTGTCGATGCCTCCCTAAACCCTAAACCCTAGACCCTAAACCCTCAGGTGTGTTGATCAGCACCGATGTGCTGTCTCGCGGGTTCGACTGCCCATGCTGCGAATATGTCCGGGACTCAGCTCTTCTTCAAGCCCCAGACCCTAAGCCCCAAAACCCCGAACCTTATCTAAGCTCTGAAGACATGCGGGCTGTGGTTTCTAGTATAAAAGGAGGGCTCTTGACGGCCATGAAGGTGACAACACGACGATGCTGCGACGACGGCACGGCGACGATGCGACAACGGTCCGGCGACGGTGTGGCGACGACAGCGACGACGCGACGACGATGCGACAACCAAGCGACGACGGTGCCACGACAATGCAACGACGATGCGACGACGGCGCGACGAGCATGCGACGATGATGCGACGACTGCGCCAAATGGACACGACGGCGGCGGCGACAAACACAACGACTTGACCACATTGCGACGACACGCCGACGATGCAAAGACGTTTTGACGACGCTGATTTCGGCCTTCTGACGGCTGGACGGCGGGCGCGCGACAGACAGATGACGCTTGATCGGCGGATGCGCGGCAGACGCGCGACCATGTCGTCGTCGCTCCGTCGCCGTGTCGTCGTCGTGTCGGTGTCGCGTCGTCGTCGCGTCGTTGTCCTGTCGTCGTCCACCTGTCGCCACGGATTTGTTCCTTTGTCGTCAGCTCCCAGAGGCAATGGCGTCAGCTTTTTTCGTAGTGACTAACGCATACCTTTAGAACTTAGAAAACCTAAACCGAAAGCCCACAACCCCAAAACCCCAAATCCCAGACCCGAAACCCTAAACCCCAAAACCCTAAACCCAGAACCCCAAAACCAAAACCCCCAACCCGAAACCCTAAACCCTAAACCCCAAAGCCCTAAACCCTAAGCCCAGAACCCCAGATCCTAAAACCCCAAAACCCGAAACCCTAAACCCGAAACCCAGAACACCAAAACTCGACACCCCAAAACTCGAGACCCTAAACCCTAAACCTGAACCCCATTAAAACCCCAAAAAGCCTAAAGCCCAGAAGCCCAGAAGCAAACTGCCAGGGGCATGAGCCCGAAACCCGCTGTGGAGTACCCCGTTATTCCATACCAGTTCCTAAGACACCCTAATATACCATGTTCGGTTTACGCTTTAGGGTTTAGGGTTTAGGGTTTAGGATATACGCTATACTGTGTTTTTACATGATATTGTCTACTATACTACAGTAGAGTATACTATAGCTTAGACCGCAGTGTATAGTATTCGATGGCCGGTTCTTTAGGCCGCTGTCCTGATCACTTCACGAGAGTTTGTGGGCGCACCTCTCGCACTGGAGAACGCCATACGGCCGTCTGTCCCGTGCGACGGGAGCTGTAGGCCTGAGACCTCAGAGGCAGGTTGAGTTCCCGAGGCCTCGAACATTACTTCACGGAAACATCAGATGTGGCGACAGGCGGCATGACATCAAGTATCTTTAAGCTAGCTGGTACCAGCCGTGCAATATCATCAACAACCTCATCACCATCGTAGTCATCATCATCGCGATATTCGGGACTTGACTGCGAACCCCCCTAGATTTCAAAAGCAATGATGCAACGGTACCATGTCGACTTCATGCATGCCCAGATCTGGCAATACCAGCATGAAGGCAAACGTCTTCGTGTTTTAATGCGGCATTCACGCAGAACTGGCAGGTATTTGTTTGTCCAAAGGTTCAGACAAGTTTCACTTGTCCAGGGTTCCTATTGGCTCCTTGCCCAGGAGCCGCACCCCTGAAGGTCTTCAACGCCCGGAGCCGTAAACCCTGAAGCACAAATCCATACGGGCATAAACCCAATCCCCTTAAAACCCTAAGCCAAGAGCTCCAAGCCTTTGAACGCTTTGAGACCTAAACCCTAAACCCTAAACCCTAAACCCTAAACCCTAAACCCCAAACCCTCGAACCCCAAGTGCCAGTCATCCCCTTCAATGTACAAGCGTTACTACCGGTATCTGAGTTGCTACTATCGAGCAGTTTTGTCATACGAGCTCGTCTTCCGCGCTTATTTCCGGAGCTCTGCCGCTCTTCCCAAGGCCAACCAGAAACCCCAAACCCTGAAGCTCAGCCCTAAACCTTAAACCTTGAGGTTATCAACTATGACATGCCTGATGGCAAGAATGCCATCCTCAACTACATTCACCGGATCGGGCGCACGGGCCGAGGAGGCCAGGGTAGAGGGTTCCTATAAGGATTCCTAGCAGGGGATTCCGATTACGGTTTAGGGTTTAGGGTTTAGGGTTTTAATTTAGGGTTTAGGGTTTAGGGTAAGGGTTCCTATAAGGGTCTTCTAGGGGCTCCTGTAAGGGTTCCTATCAGGGGATTCCGATAAGATAAAGGGTTCCTATAAGGGTCTTCTAGGGGCTCCCGTAAGGGTTCCGGTCAGGGGATTCCAAGATTAGGGGTTTAGCTTTAGGACTTAGTTTCATGTTACCTCCCCACCTGTCAAGGTCGGACAGCAAACAGGGGTCCATGGGTTCAAAGGTCAGCGTGAGGTTTCGGCCCCCGCGTGTTATGGATCGCAGGAGTCGTGGTTACCTAGAGTTGTGTTAGTAGTATGAACACTAACAATAATACGAATAGTAGTTTCAATAGCAGTAACAGTAGTTTTAATAGTAGTGAATCGTAACAATCGTATAGTAGTGAAAATAACAGAAATAATAGCAGTAACAGTGCTAATCATGGTAAAGGTAGGACTAGTAGCAACAGTATTAACAATCGAAGCGTTAGCAGTAGCAGCAGTACCGTCGTCGTAGTAGTAGTAGTAGTAGTAGTAGTAGTAGTAGTAGTAGTCGTAGTAGTAGTAGTAGTAGTAGTAGTAGTAGTAGTAGTAGAATTAGTAGTGCGTGGTCGTGGTGGTGTTAGTGGTAGTGGTAGTGGTAGCGGTAGCGGTAGCAGTAGTGGTAGTGGTAGTGGTGGTGGTGGTGGTAGTAGTCGTAGTAGTAGGTAGGAGTAGTAGCAGTAGTAGTAGCAGCAGCAGCAGCAGAAGCAGCAGCACTAGTAGTAGTGGTAGTCGCCCGTTCCTACATACTTTTACTTTACTGGTTTGGCACAGGCCCATCTTGGCAACATACTACTCTTGTGGCACACCTCGAAACCTTATTCGAAAGCCCTAGAAGTTCCTGTAAAACCCTGTTCTGATTGAACAAGCCCATATTATGTTTCAAGCCATCTGACAGGCAGGCAGGGCTTCTCCTTGACGCTCATGGATGAAACGGATTTGCGCAGCTCGGCCGCAGCAGCGGCGGTTGGACTGCAGGGTTCAAGGGTTTAGGATTTAGGGGTTCGGTCTTAGGGTACCATGATTTTTCACTTTGATAGTGTAGCAAAAGACAGGACAAACTGCGCTGCAGTCGCGAATTTTATCCGCTGCCTACGTCCAATCACGGTGGCTCGGTTTCAGGCACAATGACACAGAGGTTGGAGTAGCTGCAATTTAGAAGCAATGTGGCCTGTCTCATGGGATAGAGTCGGATAGAGGTACTCGCACCAGTGCACATCTGGCAGCTGTTGGACAGTGAATCTGACCCTGATCTATAGCTCCCGACCTGTACATCAAAAGCGAGGACACGATTCAGCCGATACTGCGAACCAACACCCAAAGACACAGCCTAAGCCGTAAACCCTAAACCTTAAACCCCAAACATTACCCGTGAGAGCATCAATCAGGCTATGCGGAAAAGCTGCACAACATGCTTCAGAGAAGCGGCTCGGAGGTGCGTGCCTCTGCCTATGCAAGGTCAGCAACAGCAACATAGCAATGTAATGATCCAAAGTATAGCAACATACGGAAACTACAAGCAGAGGCAGCCATGTCACAGCAGGTACAAGTAAACCAGTGTGGGTAGTAAGGCGACAGCAAGGCGATGATGATGATGCTGCTGCTGATGATGATGCTTGTCATGTTGATGATACTTGCTGGTTTAGGGTTTAGGGTTTAAAGTTTAGGGTTTAGGGTTTAGGGTTTAGGGTTTAGGGTGCAATGTTGGTGCCCATGGAGATGACAGTGACGAATACCCGGTTGGCGATGCCCGTGATTAGGGACATGTGGCAAGCAGGTTTGCACAACACTGTGCGAACCTCTTAATATGATATTCTCGTAGCAACTTGCGCACGCATGCGAATCCGGATGTGTGAACACACGGCTAGTGTATGACACCTCTTCGCATCATGCAATAGTTACTGGTATGCTGTGCACCTTCATACTTTGAGCAGTGCAGCTTCATACTCATCTACGTATTTTGTTGCGCACGCATGCATGCATGCTGTGTTGATTGCACTACCGTCCTGGAGGACTATGCGACAGGAGGCGAGCAGTAACCCTAACTTGCGAACTCCTTAAACACATATTTTGGTAGCATTACTGCGATTGTGTTGTCATCTAATGGTGCAGGGCCAATACGATGATTAATGACAAACGGCAGCAACTTTACCACCATCAATACATCATCCATTTCTCGTTCAGTTGATTCTTACCGTTTTGTAGAGGGTTCAGGGTGTAGGCAGAATCAGACTGCATATTGCATCAGTTGGGTCGTGTTATGAGATTCGCCAGCAGATGTTTGAGAAAGATGCCTTGCCAGACAGCACAGTGCCATCAGGTGGCAGCAGACACACAACGGTCGATGTCGGCTTGTTCCCTGAAATCCTAAACACCATAAACTCCGAAGTTCAGACCAGTACACCGGAAAGTGCCGAGATTCAAGCCTTGCATGCACCTGAATTTTCAACAAAGCCTCCAAGACCCTAAACACTAAAACTTTCTCAATCCGCTGAAGCCTGGGCTCTATGCTCCTTGCGGTGCAGGTCCACATACCATCTTGGCTCAGACAGGTGGTTTCTGGAGGTGTCGGCAAGTACTGGAATCCTGGCGCCCGGTTCCGGGGCTTGGGGCTTAGATGTTTGATTCCGGCGGAGCTTGGGGTTTAGGGCTCACGGTTTAGGGTCTAGGGTTTAGGGTTTACGGCTTTGGGTTTAGGGATTCTGGCGTTCAGGATTTTGGGTTGAGCAGAACCTTTGAATCTCGCCACAGTCACATCGATGCCAGCTGATTCTTCTCAGCCACAGGGTCCCTTTTGGATGCTTGCTGCTTTTTGGGTCTCTGGAGGTTCAGTTGTTTCCGGCTAGGGTTCGAAAGGGCCCCCTAAAGGCACTGTTCTAGATGTCGTAGTCGTCGTAGTAGTAGTAGTAGTAGTAGTAGTAGTAGTAGTAGGAATAAGAATAGTAAGGCAGAAATCCCAAAACGCTAATCCTAAGGAGGATGTGGAATCAGCAGCTGGAGCAGAGGAGACTCGGAATTTGTTAGATCTCCTTTGTCTACAGGCATGGTTTCAGGTTTCGGGGGTTGGGTGTTGGGGTCTTAGTGTTTCAGCATAGAGGGTTTCAGAGCTTTTTGGTTGGGGGTTTAGGTTCTTGGGGGTTTAGGGCTTATCAACATGGGTGTAGGGTTCAGGCATGCTTGATCTGCCGTTCTGAACACGAGAGTTGCAACAGTGAAGTGTCTTTTAGACGCATCAGAACCATGGCAAGACCTCCAGTCCTGGACGTAAAAACTGAGGCATAAGGGCCACGATGGCAATGCCGGTAAGTTTCAGTACTAACAACACGAGTCCAGCGTGTGAGCCTTGAGCCTGCAAGGGGTGTGGGTCAAGCTTCACCGCGCGTGACGCCATCCCCACCGGCGTCCGTCGTCAATGTCGCCTGGACGTGTTTGCAGGGCTTCAAGAGGTGACCTTTCACACAGCCACCTGGGGTGAGGGTTTGCAGATGGTTCTAGCGATACAGAGGACAGGAGCTCAGTTTGGGGGCGGTTGAGGTTTAGGACGTGCAGGGAAAGAAGTGAAAGGGAGTTCGCAGGGGCTCTGACAGGGCCGGTTTTAACCATGGATGCTCCGGTCATGGGATGGCCAAAGCGGTTATCGGATGGCGAAAGCGCCTAAACCCTAAACTCTAAACCCTAAACCGTTAGTCCTTTCAATCCGGACTCCCGGACCCGGCATCGGATTAAGGTTGAGGGTTTAAGGTGCCCGGCACAAGAAAGCAAGATCCTTTCCTGATGATGGTGATGATGACGGTTATGTTGATGATGATGATTGTGGCGATGATGTTGTTCATGATGACCATGACCATGAACATGATGATGATGATGACACTTGCTGTGGTCTGGCTTATTCTAAGCATTTGCTTGAACATTGCTGCTTGCTATTGTGTGACCATGCTTGAGTTTCTTTGTGTCATTTGTCTTCTGGTGTCGGTTGTCAGCAGCATGAACATGCATGAAAAGATGTCTCCAGGCGCCTCGACCGTCTCGCAGCTTCGATTTTCCATTGCCGGATTACCAGTGGCTCTGCACAACTTCGGTGGGATTTCGGGTTTCGGGGCTTAGCTTGCAGCTCAGCTTCCACACCCGGTCCCATCATGAGTGTTGTCAGAAGTGTTCAGATTCCCTTTCCCTCGGCTTGGCTCCGCGTTTGTAGATCCTTGCGTGCTCTAGGGGTCGGAATGTGACTTGGTGAGTAGCGATTGGTATTCCCTGAGTATAATCAGAGTATAACGATATGCACGAGAAACCCTGTGATTATGAAGGTCCCTATATTAAGCCCCTATAGCAAGCGTCTGGGTATCCCTTTATAGAACCCTTACGGGAACCATGAATTGAACCCTAGTCTAGCCACGAAAGGCACCTATCTTGCCTGACAGGTTTTAGTGCGCTGTAACCGAGATTCTGCCGACGCCAAATCCCAAATTTTAGATCCTAAGCACTAACCCCTATTCGCTGAAACCCGAACCCTAAACCCAAAAGCCTAAAACCTGAACCCTAAACTCTAAACCCAACACATTTGTTTTAGGTCTGAAGCCCTAACCCCTAAACCTCAACACATGAGACTTAAACCCTAGACCCCTATATAAGTCCTAAACCCTGAATCCGAACCCTTAAATCCTGGGACCCTCATGTCGGCGCCTGATATCTTGTTTTGAGGGGGTGTGGGGTTTAGGGCTTAGGGGGTATAGAACATGACTGTGTGCAATTATGGGGGTTTAGGTTTCAGGGCTTTATACTGTGCCGCAAGGTTCAGGCGCCGAAATCAGGGCTCGGATCAAAGTGTACTATGGGGATTTTGGAAGCTAGGGTAAGCTTGGGTGACTTATTGGGGATCCTCATCATAACGATACTGTTGCTGGGTGTTCTACATGCGGGCCCTGTTTTCTGAGGCTACCATGTAGGGACCATAGGGGGATATGTGTTATCACCTGAATACTGACTATCCTTTCCTTGGTGACCCCCGGCCAGTACCGCTAAAGCCTGTACAGAACTGTTGTTGACCTCTACAACACTCAGCGAAGTCCTATAGCTTGTCTCTCGACGCTCCGTGCCAATACGCCCCAAACTCAAAGCCCTAAACCGCAAAGCTTTGTTTGTCAGCCACTTGGGCACGGTTTCGGAGAGCCTAAGCCCTAAACCCTAAACC